TACTTTACAATATGAAGCACCTTGAGGAAACTGTTGTTATGATTTGTTCAATATAAATAGAACCAAATTTAATTGAATTTAAAACACTGATGAATGCAATGTGTCCAAGAAAAGGGGGAAAGTGGTCAAAGCTAACAAATTGTGTAGCATCTTCCCTGATGTGACAGTGGAGACCAAAAACAGAGTTACAACCTCTAATTATTGAACTTCAGTTTTTGTAAGCTGGAAATAAAAGAGATATATCTCTAAACTCTGATTTTTGATTCTGGCCAAGAGTCATTAACCTAATCGAATACCTTCGTGGAGTTTAAGCAGTCTTGCCGTGCCTCTAGTGTTTGCACAGATCTGAAAAAGACATATTTCATTGGAAAGTCTGATGTCTACATGAGAACAAACACTACGCTCAAACCCATCTAGTTGTTCATCCAGCAGGAGCAAAGATCTTAGCCTACATGACTAAAACCCACCAAAATAAAAAAGTCCTTCAGTTCGCAGCAGAAATGCAAACGGTATGTTCGATGTTGTTTTCAGTCAAGGATGATGTGTAAGTCCTGGCTGCCCTTGTTAGGCTCTGATTGGCCCGTAGTGGAAAACCAGTCTACTGTGGTTCTTTGATGGAGTTAGTTTCCTAGCTTAACACGGGGTTATATGGAAACTGGCTGGCTCTGTTGATCCACCAAAAAGGCTAATGTGCTGTGTGCAGATTGTTTTTCCATATGAAAACCACAGACACACACACAGAGGAGACTCTGGTCCAGCTGGTCAGACAGTAAACCAGTTTCTTATTTTTCTCTCAGCTGATGGTGTTTCGCTTCTTTCTGTTGACTTAGCTTTATTATCGAGAAAAACAGGAGGGAGCCCGCACACACACACACACACACACACACACACACACACACACACACACACACACACACACACACACTCTTGTTTAAGCTGCTGAAAAATGGCCAGCTGACCTCTGGCTCTCCTTATAATAGCATTCATTCTGTCGGCCCTCCTTATATTGAAGTGATGTGTCTGTAAATACCACAGCAAGCTGAAAGTCAAAGTGTAAGCACGCGTATATTTGAAGGACCCTGCAAGCCACCCGCCTCTCTGCACCTGCCACAAGCTCAGTCTATTGGTTTTCTGATGGCTCTTTAAACCTACATGTTCACTAATAGCTCTCTTGAAGTCTTTCTAGTTCTGTATCTGCAACAAGGTTTAAACAATCCCATAAAATGTTGTTTTTTTCAGGGGTAGCTGACTTAAGTGCTCATATATCCATATATATTTATCTAGCTAGAAAGTGACTAACTTGGCAGCAGTGGTGGGTACTGATCCATGATGGGATTGGTCGGCACTGAAACTAAGACGATGTACGAGGTGGCGTGGAGGCCCACAAAAATCAAAAGTCTTACCTGAACTTGGCTGATTTTCTAGGGCATGTCATGACAGCTTCCAGGCTGCTTTTAGATCTCCCTGAAAGTCCTGAAAGTTTTGACCACTTGTGCTCTGTGATCTTACCACAGGCTCGAAACTTGTGCAGAGAGAGCAAACATCCTCTGCTGTTTCATGTAGAAGAGCATAACCGGTGACCAGAACCGGGTCTGCCGCCACGACTTAAGTTTCTAGCTCATCCCTCAGAATGAGACTGACACTGCAGAGAAAAAAATACTGTCTCACCCCAGAAAAAACACAGCCAGGACTGAGATGCTTGTGTGCCATTTTTTTCCCTCATCACTATGCTCCACATGACTTCATCAACTTGAGGAGACTCAAAAAGGCAAAGGGGAAGGACCATTAAGAGATCTAAACATATCAGTCGTGCTAAAAATGATCCAGAACTGCGGGTTTCCCGATCATAAACAGGACAGTAGACAAGTTGAAATCAGGTTAGATGCAACACTCGAACATTTGGGGACAGCTTGGCTGGAGTCGAGGCCATGATAATTTTCCGTTCTTTCCCTAAATAAGTTAAAGAAATTGTGGAATTTTGTTGTTTTAATCGTTTTTTTCTTCATGATTTATTTCTATCAGAGAAAAGGCTTCAAAGACAAGGATTTTCCTCTTTGCATTCAGGTCAAAATTCTCTCTGAACTCGACAGTTTGACACCACATTGGCTGATCTACTTAGGAAGGATCTCTTTTTTTTGCCTATTATGGAGGCCAGAGGTCACGAGTTTGAGTTTTGAGTCTTGCTCAGAGGCACTTCAGCTTAAACCTATGAGGCTAAGCAACTTTACTGTGTGTGTATCCATCCAAGGCAGCGTTCAGGTGTGTGTGTGTGTGTATGTTGGGCCCCCACAGAAAGCCCCTCTTTGTGCCGTGTCGGAGGCAGCCTTCCTAATCAGGGGTCATTACATGAGGTTAGTGTGGGGGTCTCCAGGGAGAGGAGAGGGGATCAGAGCTCAGATTAGACCCGACCAACCCCTCGCCTGTCCCGGGGCACGGCAGCAAGGAAACCCGACCCCGCCTCCAAACCCCTCCAAAAAAAACCTTAACTGTGTCTGCAGAGAGAAAATGAGAGACTGATTTACAGGAAAACACAGGGAGCTCTACTTCTTGTTTTTCTCGTTCCGATTCTTTGTGCGTGATGTTGCGTGTGCATTAAATGTGTGTGTGTGTGTGTGTGTGTGTGTGTGTGTGTGTGTGTGTGTGTGTGTGTGTGTGTGTGTGTGTGGAAGAGAGAGAGAGAAAAGAAGGTTTGTGCCCTGGGGATAAGGGGATAATAGGAGGGAGAGGTAAGTGGCTGATTACCTGAAATGGTCTTGGCACAGAAATGAGAGAGCCAGAGAGGAAGCAAGAGACAGAAAAGAAGAGAGAAAGTGCACGAGCGAGAGAGAGATAATAATAATAGTCAGGGGGAGAAATGACAGAAAATTTTTTTAAAAAACGGAAACATGAGGGCTGTCTCTCCCTCTCTCACTCGCTCTGTCCGAAGGCAGATGAGAAGACGAGCAGGAGAAGATGGAATGATGGAGGGGTCGTTCTCACGCTTCAGCAGCCAGGATGCTGCTGATAAGAGCGAGCGGACAGGATCAGCTTTACACCGATACTCTGTCTGTTTGCACGTCCTGCCTCACCCTTTGTGCAGAGGACTCCGAATGTGTGCACGTCACTGTCTGCCACTTATTCCACAGCATGAATATTGATGAGCGTTTCTGCATGCAGTTGCAGCTGCTGCTGCAGGTTGATGTGCACATAGTGTGCAAAGAGATGAAGAAATCAACAGAAAATAGGCTGAAAACTTGTTTGGGACTCGATCAAAGATGCTCGTCACTCCCGAGTCCGATGGTTGCCTTTGCAAACAAAAATAATGTGCACATCCCAATACCCAATTTTGTTTTCACTCAATCATTAGGAATTAAAAAGTTGATGTTCCATCTATTAATTGTTTGCATTTAAATTAGGTCTGCTTTTTATTTTCTTCATCGATTAAAGCGCAGTGGTTCCGCCCTCGCTCCAGACTCCCAGTTTTAAGACGTTGTGCTTGATGACGGGTGGATTTTTCACTGTTCTCTGGCAGCTTATAAATGAAATGACTAACAGATTAATATAGAAATCCTATGGGTCTTAAGAATTAAGTAATTTTTAGACATGAAATTCAGTTTATTTTTGTTTGCATGTGGAGACAGATCTTCATCTTTGGTAAAAGTAAAAGCCGACTATTTAAGATGTCCTGGTGATTTTATATGTTTTTACTGCCTCACGTTTCTTTTGCCTCCGAGAAATGTATTCAAGCATTGTCTCAGGGTGAGCATTTGATATCCCCGTGCATGCTGCTGCATGAAGATGCAGTTCATATGATTACATTCAATTCCACACTTCAGCCTCGTGTGTTACAAAAACAAGGTACAAGAGAAAAGCCGGTAAAAGTTGGGACCATTAAACCTCATCAGGCCAAACAAGACAAGAGTTGAATTATCTTTATAACTTGTGTAATTAATCTTATGTCTCTTTTGTGTTGTATTTTGTGTTCTGGGTTTGTATTTGTGAATCCAGGTGGGTTTAGCCGCAGACATTTCGAGGGAGACAGATCCTTTGCTGTTTGAACCGTCCAGCGGTGAGTCTTTCTTTCAGAGTGCTGCTTTTAGTTCATACTGAAGCTTTGTAAGAAAGCTGGTACGCCCTGATACGATAGCAAGCGTATGCTTCCTACTTCATTCTTTTCAGTGCTCTCAAGGTTGTCCCCTTAAAGCGTCATGTGACGAGATGATCAGTTTCTACCTAACATAACGTAAAAGGGAATAAAGGACCTAACTCAGCGTTTCTGTCGATATTGAGTCAGGGCTGGAGTTTATCGTCAGAGTGCAGTTTTATCATTTGTTGCTAATTATTTCGAGGAACTGTTGACGATGTGTTGCAGGCAGCTAGATTTCTGAAGCCAAATATAAGCCGTACTTACAAAAAATAAAAACAGTTGTGCAGATTCAGGAAACACTTGAAGATATATTTTCATTTCACTTTTTTTCTATTGTGTCAGGTGAGTACTCTGGTCTCCAAAAAGTTCAAATATTATGCTTCAGTTTAAAACAGTCTTTTTAGCTCCTTCTACTATCATGTTAGAATATCAAAATAAAGTTGGCAGCTGGTGTTAACCTTCTCACACTGAAGGGAGTAGTTAGTTGTATCCAAGGGCAGAGTCATTAATAATGATTGCATTTAAATTAAATCAGTAGTTGCATTGTTATATTTAAGTCCGTATCTTTCCTCTGCCTGAAGTATTGAAATTATAGTGCTGCCTTTTTTTTTGTGCTGCTAAAAATATAAGACAGAGACTGAGATGTCTTACTAAACACTTTGTATAGTCAAATGGCTTAAAATCAAAATATCTACATCCTGAAAATATTTTACTTTTGATTGGTTTAGGATGTAAATTTTCCTTGGTCAAGTTGAGTCTTTGCAGTTAGCACAAAGTGAAGCATTAAAAGTAAAGATGAACACACAAATACATGCGTTCGGTATCTCTGTATAGTTGTGTGTGTTTGCGAATTTAAATTAACACGTGTCCTGACCTTCCTCCTCTTGCGGTGGATGTCTCCGATGCTGTTGGCCAGTGAGTTTGGTCCCAGCAGCGTGGACGTGCTCTGAGGCCAGTCCACCGCCACCAGAGTGTGCTCGCCCATCAGCACCTTGCGCACGTTCTCTGCGCCCGTAACCCGAATCACAGGACGGCCTAGCAGGTGGGTCTTGAACACGTTGCCGTACTTCTGTCTCCGTGATGCATGAAAGCTCGAGCCCTGGACAAAGGAAAAGACGGTAAGCACAGAGATCAATCACAGATCTAACTTGTAATGCTGAAGACACAACTCACGAGAGTCGTTTTAAGATATTTTTTACAGTAGAATGAGCGACAGTTCTTTAGTCGTGCTGGAGGATTAATTATATGAGGCAGTATGTCAAAAATCCATATTAAAGAAACTAGTTTTGCTCATAGAAAAATAAACCTGGTGCTTTTCCATTCTTCCTCCTTCAACATCTATAAGAAAGTCGAAATTCTATTAAGAAAGGAAGAAGAGAAAGATGGGTAGTTTTAGAGAACACTGTTGGGACTGAATGCTGGAGTTCCCCTTTGAGAGAAGCAGGTGTGAGGAGACGGTAACAGAAGGAATTCCCCAAACACTCCTCACCCTTTTTCACGGAAATCAGAGGAACCTTTTCAAATCCTGCTAATTGAGATCGCCCCCATCTCCACTTCTAAATCTATATCTTTCTTAATATCTGCACTCAAATAAATCTTTTATATTGTCAGCAGTTTAAGGGTTAGTGTATTCTTAACATGAAATTCCTTAAAATTTAGTGATTCTAGCCATCATCATCACTGTCACGGAAACATTGTGAGACGAGGTTTTAATCATGCAGAAATCATTTTAAAAACTGATGAAATATTACAATAGACAGCCAGCAGCTGCTGTCCTCAAACAGAAGATGGTCAGATCCAAAAAGGCTCCTCAAAACAGTGATACCTCACCGAACTGATGGGGCCTACTCTGAAAAACGCTCTCCTTGCCCTCGACCACCGTTAACAAAACATGCTAGTTCTTCATGCTTTTTGCACTTTCTAATAATTTAAAACAGTCTTTAGGATCCAACCTTCACCCCAGCTTTTGATCTTCATCTCTAAAAGGTTTCAGTAAGTACTTTCTACTCTCTCTGTGGCTCGGGGCCCAAACAGACTGGTGAGTTCTCCACATGCTAAAAGTTACTGAGGTTTCCATCATCTCAGCTCTCAGAGAAAAAAGTAAACTTAAACCAACTGAAAGCAGAAGACTGCAGATGTTTAAGGAGCCTGTATACATCAGGTTAATGCAATGAAAACTGATTCAAGTCGCCTTTAGGGCACAGGCAGAGATCAGTTTTAACATCGGCCCACGAGCGGTGAGGTTAAAGGTTCTCAAAACATTTGCAGTTCAGGCTTAAAATACAGTAAATGAAATTTCTCATCCTGATGAAGAAGACTGACAGGAGACTGCTCGAGGATATAAGAAGTTTCAGCCTCAGACTGCTCATTTTTGGCCACTGCCACTTCAAATCTTTTTCTCCTCGTTCATCAACTGAGGTGGAGCTCCAAGTTGTCAGGCCTGGGGAACCCAAGCCCTAAGATGAATGGACTATGCCGGCAACCTCTGACGAATGGTCATGGGAATCTACATATTAACAACCATGCAACTGAGCTCATGGCTCATTGTTAGGCAATGTTGCTTGTGTCAGTCATGTTTATAAGGTTAGGGAAACCCGCAGTCACTTGGAAAACTGACGAAATGTTTCGCCAGTTGAAAACGTCCAGATGAACGGGATCAGTTTACCTGGATTATTGAGGAGGTCCAAACGTCCAAGATGTGGTTTAACATGTAGCACATTAAACTACGTCTTTCTTCACAGGGTTGTCACTATTTAAATCACAGAGGGGATTCCTCCTTCTCAGATTGTTTTATTTGAAGGCAATCAGAGAAAGTGAGTTTTCCCTTTTTCTATAAGAAGCATAGTGCTTGCTAGAATTACAGGTAGAGCTTCCGGTTTAACTCGAAAATAGTTCTTAGAAAAAGTGCAAAATAATTTTTTTAGTGACAGGTGTGTGATTTCTTTAAAAAAAAGAGAGATTAAGTGCATGTTTTATTCCTATAAGCATCTAGATAAGCGTTGTTACACCCCATACCTGCAAAACTGGGCAGTTAACACCAAAACAATGTAGGTGCATGAGCAATACTACGAGCCACGGAGAAAAATTAGAATTTCTTGCTGGAGAATAAAAAAATAAACATTTGTCCCTGTTTTATGTTTTGACCCATCACGAGGAGCCACATCGCCACATTTCAGGGCCCCTGTCCCACAGTTTGGACAACCCAAGTTGCAAGCACAACCCCCAGAGGACCGAAGCTGGAGTCAGTTAGCGAGCTGACCTGAGTTCAGCTTTGACGTTGACCTCTAAACGGTCTGGGTCACAGCAGAGTGAGAGGAACTGTAAATGGGCTGTTTGAGTGAAAAGAATATATAGCCGCCTGAGAGGCTGCTTACTGTGTTACACACACAGACACACACACACACGTACACGGGACATACACACTGAGTCTAACAAGGCATTATTCAAATGCAAGTATTAACACACATGTGCATATAGACTTAAAAACACACTCTCACTCAAGATTACTAAAATAAAACGATCTTTAAAAACTCAGAAACATGGAAAGCAAACAAACATGCGGAGGCCCAACTGCAAATTGCCGTGACAACACTAACTGGTTTGACCCCGGTTTACTCAAGGGAAAAGAGATATTTATGACTGTGAGGCACACAGACACACACACACAAATATATATGTACGCATATATATTTGTGTGTGTGTGTAAACATGAAGGCAAAAGGACAGCCTGTAAGGCAGTTTATTCACACATCAACACAAAACAGACAAGGAGAGCATTTTTATTGTGATTTTTGTTTAAAAAAAATCAGAATAACTTCAAACCTTCCTGACACGAGCCAACATTAAGATCAGCTGTAACCCCCGACACTACAAAACAGTCGGCATGTGTATGAGTGCAGTTATAGGCACATGTTTGTGTTTGAATGCGGAGCTCAGAAACTAATTTTAGCAAGTAGTTTGTTTCCTGGTCGAGGGCACACCTCTGGTAGCGGCGGCGGTGCTTTTTGTTTGTGTGCGAGGGCTCAAAATGTGTCCGCTCACTGATTCCGGTCAGCGGTGTGATTACTGGCTCACAGCCCTACAGTGAAGCCTCGATAGATTTACTAAACTCCCAATCAAAAACACCCCGCTTGGCCAAGAGGTTTCAAAGCTGAGGAGGAGCTTATGGTCTAAATTAGGAGTGACTTTAAAAAGTGTGTGTGTCTCTGGTTGGGTGTAAATAAGTGTTTTACATTCGGTGCATAGATGTTTGTAAAGGGGAACTCAGTGGAATTAGTAGTGCATGTTTATAAAGTCACACATTTTAAGAGAATAAATTACCAGAGGCTGAGATATTCCTGCTTTTAGTCCCTATGAAAGGTTCAGCTCCAAACACACTGGTACATGTTAAAGACATGTCTAATTATCAGAGACATATTGCTCACTTGTGTTTGAGCAGCGTGCGGGGGACAACCATGGGAATAGATAAAGACTTTGAAGGGGGCTAAAAGAGGCAATGTAATAAATGCAATCTCAAAACTTTATATGGTCTTTCACGTATTTAGAAGAATGAGCCGGATAAAACTGAACCCCTCCAAAATTACCATCAACTAATAAGAGGGATATCGGTTTTTAATTAGCTGGTTCTTTTGTATTACCTCTCACAACTAGCAAAAAACTGGTGGACTCCACCTTCAACCACGAGTGAAATATATCTTGAAGGCGGAGACACCAAATCATATTAAACAGCTTGAAGCGAAGGTGGGTAAAATGACCACTGGTGACATGAAAGTGGGTCAATTGATGGAATAGAATTCAAGTGAAGTATGCCGTTGATAGCCATGTGGCAGGGTTTGTAAAAATATTAGAGGGTTACCTAGGCAACCAGAAGGCTACCAACCATCAGCACCAAAGTGATGCACTTTGTGTATGGAGCCCCTTTGAAAAAAGCAGCTACTGTCAGCTGCTCTGTTATGCTGCTCTATTCCATAGTATGCTGTATTCAGCATGCTTTTGCCAGTACTCCTTGGATTTACATCTTTGCAGGAAAACCCACGACCCTAAACGAACACAGCAGACACGCAGGTGAAGCTCCTCCTAAAGACTGGTAACAGACCAGTTTCAATCCCAGTTTCCACCCACGATGAAGTTGCTGCAGTAAAACTGAGTCATTTTTGCAGAAACTAACAGCCATGTCATTTTGATTCCTACAGCTCAGCACGGTGTTAGTTCAGGCAGGCCAAGAAGCTAAGCTGAGCCTTTTACACGATGTCCTTGTACACATCCAGGCGTGCTATGTATCAATGCTCCTTCTGCAAGCCACATTTCAACCCACCTCCACCCCCAGCACCTCCTTTTCATACCACCTCTTACATCTCCGTTGTGTAATTGGTTCCTGCTGCTGCTTCCATTACCATATCACCAAATATAAGCTGGAAATAAGAGTTGTAATTAAATCGTTTTTTGACATCAGAAAGACAAACAAGACTCAAACGGTTTCTGTGGCAGAGGATAAAGATGCGACGCAAAGCACCTGCTGAACAGCAACCAATGACGATCAAGAGGTGATTGAAGCTTCCTTCTTCCTTCATGACTGCTTATTAATATCAGTCATTCATTTCTTTCTCTCGTCATCGCAACGTAGCTGACATGCTAAGGTTTCTCTGTGTGAAGTCGACCTAAATTGAGCACAGATGCTTTTGCCCTCTCTGTACGTCTGGCTGCTGTTTTCGTGCTGCTTTGAAAACTCTGATTGCCAGACTGCTTTTATCAATGAAACATCCTGTTAATTAGCATTCAAGCTCCTCACGCCCCACTGTCCCGCCCTGCCGTGTTTCAGAGTATTCACTCGAGCTCGAGGTGCTGGCGTTATTTTATTCACACTGGGTTTTATCCTGCAAAGCTGTCCGACAGCTGCCTGATTCCTGGTCAATGTCGTCCACCTGATAGTTGGCTTAAAACTGTAGAAACCATCCAGTTTCAGTGTAGCTGGGACTGAGTTGTCTTTAAAGAGTCTATTTTTGAAGCCACATCCATTCATTCATTCATGCACCTTTGCAAATTTTGGGGGTTTCTTTTTCTCTCTGTCGATGTGTCTGGGTACAAACTGTTGGCCCGAGC